CAAAAAGAAAAAGAAAAAAAAAGAAAAAAAAAAAGAAAAAAATAATGTCAAATCACATATTGGTTAAGGGGTACTTATAACACAACCCAATATCAATTTGTAGCTTGTGTTAAGTTTGCTGACATAGAAGCGATCGTTGTTAAGAGACACAAAGACACATACTAGTGGTTGTTGGTCGAAGACACATAAGTCATCTGGGGTTTCTAACGTGGACGCTGACAATGTTTTGTGTTATCCAGTGAGCAAATTCTTTTCTGGCAGAGAAAGAGATTAATGATTTGTAATCTAGGTTTTGTATTTCTCAAAGATGGAGATCGAAATTGGATATTAGATTAGTTTATTTGCTTTTTTATAGAAATTTTGTTTTCTAAAATTTAGTAACCTAATTTTATTTGAATTGTTACTGATTTTGTTCCGCAATCGTATGGTTTTGTTAGATATTTATTTAATTGCATAGTTGCGTAATTTATCAAATAAAACTGAGTTGCTTGTTATTTGGAGTGAGTGCTTAACAAATAACTTTTTACATTACATATATAAATACATATATTCACGTGGGGGGCAAGGAGACATAACATAAAAAAAAATAAAAAAATAAAAAAAACGATGTCGTATATGAAAAATAGGGTATACAATGGCACACCTCGGCCTCTTGATGCACACAAATTCATATCCAATATTTATTATATTTACTTATTCTTTTCAAATAGACAAATATCGTCTCATATACATTTTTTTAAATATTAACAATTTAACCTCAAAATCCTTCTAGATTTCAAATAGGACTTTCCTTTTCGTGGTTGTTGTTGACATATCCCTAACCAATACCATTCCCTATATATACAAATCATAACACAACCATTTTTCAAAACACCATTGACCTTCAAAATCCTTCTAGATATTCATCTGAGATTTTTCTTCACAAGAATTTATAGACAAAAAATGCCAGGTTTAAAGATTGATTTGTTGGTGATTATGGCGCTCATGCTTGCATCTGTGCAGTTTCAAGGCACGGCGGCTCAAACTACCCATGTGGTCGGCAACGCCTTGGGCTGGAATATTCCTCCCAACGGACCTTCTGCTTACACCACCTGGGCATCAACTCAGACATTCAGAGTCAGCGATGTTCTTCTCTTTAACTTCATCACTGGATTCCATAATGTTGCTGAAGTCTCGCAGGCGGCTTACGGCCCATGCACCACCGCCAACCCCATCTCCATCTTCACCACCGGCCCTGCTAGAGTCACCTTGAACGCACCTGGAACTCACTATTACATCTGCACAGTTGGAACTCATTGCCAAATTGGTCAGAAACTAACCATCAACGCCTCCGCCATGTCTGCCACCCCTCCACCAACACCAACACCAACACCCGCCTCTCCCGCACCGGTTTCTCCACCCACAGATAGCACCATTCTACAACCGCCATCATCAAGTTTTGCTCCATCTTTCACCGCTGTCGTACCCTTCAGTTTCTTGGCGATTGCTATAGCTTTCTTTTATTAGATCCAGTGTTTAGTTACTTTGAGATGTGCATACGTAACTCGTTTTGATTAGAATTTTCTCTTTTTGATTCTATTCATATTTCGTCTACTTATAGAGATTGATATTGCTTTATACTGTTTATATGAGTATTTCCATTATATTCCGCTTTTTTTGAAAAGATTGATATTGCTTTATACTGTTGATATGAGTATTTCCATTAGTACGTCATAATTGGATATGGTGATAACATACTAAACCATTCATCTTTACGTGATTAAAGATCCTTCAGGAGTGATGTTGTAATTTTTATGCAAATAAAGGGCTGATCATGTGTTTTACTTAGGTAGAAATCGATCCTAAAACTCCTCCCAAACAAATAACTAAAAATCATCTGCTTTTCATGTCAAACAAATTTGGAAACTAAAACTTCTTTCTTGTTCCCATCATAAATACTAACCCTTCTGAAATTAAGGGATCCATCAAACTAATATGGCAGGTTTTGAGCTGAATCAAGCGGTGGTTATGATTGTCATGGTGGCATACATGCAGTTTCATACCACGGTGGCTAAGAATACCCATATGGTCGGTGGTCCAGTGGGCTGGACTATTCCTGCGTCAGGATCCCATATCTACTCTAGTTGGGCTGCTACCAAGACCTTTAACGTCGGAGATGATCTAGTCTTTAACTTCACCACCGGAAAACATACGGTTGCAGAAGTACCACTGCAGGGATACGACCAATGCAACACCACCGACCGCACACGCATTTACAAGACCGGGCCCGCCACCATCACCTTGACAAAAGCTGGCACCCGCCATTACATATGCACTATTCATTGCAAAATGGGCCAGAAGTTAAGTGTCAATGTGAAATAGGAATATATAGTTAGGATTTATGTATAAAATAAAATGGTATAGGCTAAGTATCATAATTCTTAAAAGATGTGGCTCGTTAAATAAATGTATCGATCTTTATTCAATGAAAAAATTGTGTTATTTCAAACTAGATGCAATATTTTTTTTTTTAAGAAATTTTCGCAATAAAATCTTTTATTTTATGCATCAAACTATTGCACGATAGTAATTAATTTTCTAATTAAGAGACAATATTATGATATATATTTAGTTAAGGTTCAAACGACTTTGTTGAACTACATGGCTACATATGTTATAGCTAGATATTTCAAAAACACAATTTTTTCATTTACCGTAATATTTGATTCATTACGTTATGTATTTATAACATCCTTAAATTTCTATAATAGTTCTACTAAAATATCACAAGTTACCACTGTCTTGTCGAGTGGAAATTACCATCGACTATAACGTTGATAGTTGCCATTTTCAAGATGGAACAAAAGCAATATAACTAGGAGGATGAAAATCAAAATTTAATGCAAAACTAAATAGACAAATAATTATTTTAACAAAAGTAACCAACAATTATCACATAACAATCTAACTTAATAAATAAAATCACGCTATACGTCTTTTTCTCCTTCATTTTGACATATTTCATTTTATGGATTTTATAATTTTTATTTTCCACTTGTCATTTCTAGGGATTTTTATTTTCTTAAAATAAAATTCCATAAAAATCTAACGGGTTTTCTAAAAAAAAAGAATCATTCTATTAATTTGATAATAAAGTCCACTACAAGAAAAACGTGTATTACCGGCGACAATTTTATTTGTCGTCGCTAATGGTGGAGTCGCCGCTAATGGCGTCGCCGGTAAAGGTGGTACACAACGATCCGCATTGTCCCCCAAGAACTAACTCCATCCATTTATCATATCACCCAATCGAATGGTTGTTAATCCATTCTGTCTTAGTTACCATTACTGATGACACAAATAGCGGCGATTGTGTCGCCGCTAATGCTCGAAAATAATAACAGCGAATAAATTCCCTCCAAATACCCCAAAATGTCGCCGGTAAATCCTTGTGTCGCCGCTACTTCTCTCCTTCTACATTAGGCGCATTCCTTCTTTCATTCCAAATCACAACAAAACCTCGATTGAACTCATCCTCCATCGATTTCGACTTCCAAACCCACAATTGAAGCTCCAGCCACCCTCTATTGAAGCTTCGGCTACACATAACCACTGTCGACCATAATTTGCCGGTGATGAAGCTTATACCGATGACGCCTTTCGTTTTTTCGGCGACGATATGTTCCCTCTTCCCTCCTTTCTCTTTGTCTTTCTCTTCTGACCAGAATTCTAGACCTAATTGTTTTTTTGTTGATTTTTGTTGTCTTAAGTTACACCATCACTACCACCATTGTTGCAGCACTGAAGACTACCACCACTAGTTGAAAGAGGGCAAAATTTTGGGGACTACAAGTGCATTTTTTGTAATTTGTTATATATGTGCATTTGTGTGTGTATTTTGTTTATATGTGTGTGTATTTCATATGTGTGTGTGAAATATGTTATATGTGTGTATTTCATATGTGTGTGTGAAATCTGTGTGTATTTCGTATACATGTGTGCATAAAAAGTATGTATATATGTGTATAATGTATGTGTGTATTTATATGTAATTTAGATTGTGTTGATGGTTGTTTTATGTGTATAAAAAGATGTATATATGTGTACAATGTATGTATATGTGTATTTGTATGCAATTTGGAGTATATTTGTATGAATTATGTAAACTACAATGTCATAATGGAAAAAACAAACAAAAAACAAGTAGGATGCTATTATTGATAAATGTTATTTAAAGTACATTACTATAATAGTTCATATGTATTGTGTATTTGTAGATAAATTGTTAATTGTTAGTTTGTTGGTTTGTTAGTTTGATTGTTGGTTTAACTTAGAAGGTTAATTTTAGTTAGTCGGATTGTTAATTTGATAATTTGTTGATATATAGATAAACTGGTAATTGGTAGTTTTCTTATAATTTGGTAATTTTTAGTTTGGTTTATGGTAATAGTTTAACTTACAAGTTTATATGTTGTTATTTACTATGTAGTTGGAGAATCTTCGATCAATGTCCAACGATCTGGAGTCTACTGCGAAACTTATGGGAGGGAACGAGGGTGGCGGGGATGATGACACGTCGTAATAGTTTTATCTTTTATTAGAGATTGTGTTATGACATAAATTTATAAGAATTTTGTTATCTATTTTGGTGTATGTATGGTATGATAAAACTTGGATGTTATGTTATCGTTTTTTTGCATTTATCGTATCAGTTTTTCTGCATTTAACGTTATTAACGTAGCATTAGTGGCGGCATTATCATTAGTGGTAACAGTGAGCATTAGCGGCGACTTTTTGAGCAATAGCGACGGGTTAGTAGCATCGACGTGTCGCCGATAAAGGTATTAGCGGCGACTTTGGTGAGTAATATCGGCGATTTCTGTCGCCGCTAATACCCTTTTTTCGTGTAATGGTCTCATAAATGCTCCAAACGTTTCGATTTCTTTTATAAATGTTCCAAAAGATTACTTTATGTTATGTAAAAGTATTACTTTATAAAATATTTAATGTTTAATTATTGATAATAAATTTTTATTTTTAATGAACGTGTATATAGGTCTCACACCTAGTTCTCAAATTGTAACATCCGGTCTCAGCTACGCATTTAAATTCAAGCCAAGCTTCATATTTTGCCCTTAGACTCGGCGAGTTGGAGGCCCAACTCGTCGAGTAGGATCGACTCCGCGTCCGGGGACTAAGTGACCTACTCGACGAGTTGGAAGACCGACTCGGCAAGTAGGAGCTGTGTGAGTGAAACCCTAAATTGGAGGGTTTGCACCCTATTTAAACATCTTATGAGGCTTCCACCCCAGCCTCCATCACCTTTAAGCTATGTCCTCGAAACCCTAATCAATTGTGAGCATTCTTGAGCAATTTGTGCCTTTCCTTGTGATTTGAAGTTAGAAGAAGAAAGGGAAAGCTTAGTGAATCAAGAAGCAAGTCAGTGTATCCAGAGTTGTGGTTGCATTTCCAGTTATTTGAGGTAAAGAGCTCCTACCTTGACTCTTAAATTGTTAGATATACTTTGAGGCTTGAATCTTGTCATCTTTGGGGGTATTTCCAAGCCATTTTGGATTGTAGAGTGTAATATAGGGTAAATGCTTTAGATCTGGAACCTTGGAGGGTTCTCATGGCATAAAGGTGCCAACTTTATGGCCATGAGAACCCCATGCATGTAATAAACCCTATTTTTGGTCTTTTGAGCTTAAAAGTCCCATGCATGGACGTAAAGTTCATGACTTTACGTGTTATATCGACCTTAGGAGCCCAGATCTACCCTCTGGGTGAGATTAGCACAACAAAAATCGAGTTTTGGGCATGGACATTAGTTGACTCGACGAGTCGTTCATGGGACTCGGCGAGTCGGGGGTTTGGTTCCCCAGCCTTTTCTGATTCGAAGGGATCTAGTTGAGTCTGGAAGGGATCTGGATGAGTCCACGAGGAGGACTCAACAAAATAAACGTAGTTATGGACCTGGAAACCATGGGACTCGGCGAGTGGATGAACATGTTGGATTAGTGTCTGAGCCCGTAACCATATTTGGTAAGTACTTGACCCAGTTGTGCATGGTCCTTTTGGGTTGCCTTCACCAAATCAACTTGATTGGAGAAATAATAGAGAAAGAGGTTATTATGGTTTATTGATATATTATAAGAATAATATACTAAAAGAGAAGTCATATTTGTTTAGTTAATATTGTTCAAGAATTAATTAAGAATTAATTTTGTGATCAAAAGAAGTTAACTAAACTAGGGGGACTGAAATGCAATTATGTGATAGTCGGAAAGTAGGGCAAAGGATGCCCTAGGGATAGGGTGGACGAATTCAAGGGGATAAAGCCCTAGAATTCGTCCAAGGATAGGGCTTCTAGAATTATCCTTGGGCTGCTTGGTGGCTAAGCAACCAGATAAGGATAAGGACTGAAACCCTAATCCCTACAGCTATATAACGACCCCCTGGCTTAGGAAAATCGGCCACTTGATCCTAGAAGATCCTAGAACCGATTTCCTACCTCTCCCCTCTCTCTCTCTCTCTTGCCTCTCCATTGCTCTTGGTGTTTGTGAGCCATTAGAGGTACTACACTTGTGGTACTTGCTTTCAAGACAAGAAGATTGAAGATTTGAGTTGTTATTACAATATAACAACAAGAGGTATGTAAACCTTTCTCCTTTGTAAATTTCAAAAATACTAGGAGCATGCTAGGGTTCTTCATGTGTTCATAATGTTGTGTATCTAATAGAAAAACATAGATCCAAATCTAGGGTTGCATGCACACATAGGATTGTTTGTATAAAACTCATCAGTGGTATCAGAGCCAGGTTTTGTTGTTTTCAATTAGTTTATACAAAAGTATGAATTTGAAAATTAGGGTTTATGGCCAATAAACCCTAGGAGGCAAGATTTTGAAATTAGGGTTCTTGGACCCTAAATTTCGAAAATTGATAAGGGTTTTTCAAACCCTTTCCTTAGCCCCCAAGATTTCGAAATCTAGGGTTTGCAAACCCTAGGGTTTCGATTTTAGCCTCCTCCCCAAGATAAGATCCTAAATTTTAGGGATTAGGATAATCCCTTATCTTGTAATTATCTTTTAAGTGTTTAAAATATGGTAATTAAAGATTTTGAATTATCTCATCCCATATTTTCGATTTTAGGGGATTTAAGGGATTAGGTTAAATTAATTGTTTAATTTAAAAGACAATCCTTTAAGATTTGATAATTAAAATAAATTGTTTATCTCAAGGATAATTATTAAATCTAGAGAGTTTTAATATTTAAAATTTTAAATTAAAAGGTTAAAAATTCGAAAAATTTTAAATTGAAATTAAAACCCTAATGTTTTAAAA